GGTGGTGTGGAAATGCATTGCTCATCTATATTGCTCTTATGGGCTTACATTTCAAATGTAAACATGTCCAATGTGTAAAATAGAGTTGAGAAAATAAATCATGATACATTTCCAGATTTGTAAAACATTGTGTTTCTGGCTCGAGATTCAACATACTAATTAGCCCCTAGGAGATCCATCTAACAGTTTGTGATTTTCCCCTGATTTTTAATCAGTCTAATTTCTCTCTCCAACACACAGGCACGTACAGCGCCATACACACAAAGCCTCTGTTTGCATAATGTGCTCACTGTCTGCTCCTCTGAGACTAAGCACTGTTTGTGCATCCCTGCATCTATGTGCCTCTACTGCTGTGTGTGTGTGTGTGTGTGTGTGTGTGTGTGTGTGTGTGTGTGTGTGTGTGTGTGTGTGTGTGTGTGTATGTAGGTGTGTGTGTGTGTGTGTACGCTTGGGTGCATGCACGCTTGCATGGTGTGTGTGCATGTGCAATCCTCAGATTGTTCAAGTTCATTTGTATGTGTTTTGAGAAAGACCCCCATTCCTTTTAGTCTACTGCCCTAGCTGTGGCTCCACCATGATTGCTCTGACAATTCAACAGTAAAAAAAAAAACCACCTTCTGCCAGACTGTTTTCCCTGTTCTGTTATGGAAATGAGATTTTCCATCTCACTTCATCTTCAGTACTTAAATACCTCTTTGCTGAGAATAGGACTGTCTAGCCTGTTAACACATTTCCTCCCATATAAGATTGCTGTTGTTCAGCAAAGCTTAGTTGAATTTTAGATTCTGCCTTCACAAAGAAATTAGATTTTCTACAACTAGTGTGAAATGCGAACTGTCCATACGTGTATTGCTCTGTAAATCACAGTTAGTGTGAGTTGCTCGATGGCAGACTGCTGAATCTCCTGTTTGCATTATTCCCCCAAGTCGTGTCTTATTGTCGTCTTCATTCACTCATCTACTCAGACATGCTACATTGTGAGGTCGTGGGTTGTGATTCATAGTTAATATTTTCGGTCCCAAAAGCCCATTATGTAATTGTATCCTTCCTAATGCCCTTTTATTTATATTGCACTCTTCAAATTGTACTTTAAAGTGATTTACCAGATAAATGAAATAGACAAAAAGACAAGAGCTACCATGGAAAAATTACCAACAACAAATAAACAAAGTGGAAAAAGCAATAAAACAATAGAAAGCCTGACCACAGTCCAGACTCCAGGACAATCGTCAGGTTTTAAACCCTCAGATACAGGACATCAGCTGTCATAAATCTGCAGGACCATCAGACAAATAGCACCATTCACCAGCCTCCTAATCTATAAGATGTACAGCTGAGTGTTTGAGTAGGGGCATGTCAGTAGTGTTATCAAGTAGGTGCTTGCCTTTACTGATGCTTTGTTGCTTTATGCTCAAAGCAGCTCTAAAGAGAACCAAAAGGCGCGTTCACACCGCGGTACTTTTCCCACTTTAGTTCTGATATAGTTCCAAAATGTCGCGTTCACACCAAAAAGAGCCAGAACTAAAATGTGTTCATCAGAACCTTTTTTACCCCCTTTTCAGTCCCTGCTAGAGAGCAGGGACTTTCGTGGGAGAAAAAGGTTCCTGTGTCTGATTGGCTGGGCGGAATGCAAACCACGCCCCGTAAAACTCCCAATAACCAGCGCCGCTGCCAATAACGTTTGTGAAGCCGCCATTTTATTATCATTATTAGCATTAGCATTAGCCCAGCGCAGAAACGCAGAGAGACTAAGTTATGTCAACACAAAATAAAACATGGGAGCGGTGGAGATGAGGAGGTGTCGGCGTTCTGGCCGTTTACTCGGAAGGCTTCAGTAGAAGCTGCTGGGACTCCCAGCAGTCCCTAACTCCGGGGACTTCCGGCCGGGGATTTTGGGCGGCAGTATACGCCGTGAAGTTGTTTGCGGCCTGCCAGTAAACCCAAAGCAGAAGAAGACGAAGTGACGTCAGCGGCTTCATTTGCCTAATACTCCCTCAGGGACTTATTCCGGTGTGAACGCGATCTGTACTTAGTTCATGAGAACTAAAGAGTTCTCATGAACTAAGTTCTGATGAACCTTTGTGGGAAAAGTACTGCGGTGTGAAAGCGCCTAAAGAGTGCAATCTGCCAAGACACAACCATGTTCGATAATAACACTGCCTACCATACGTGTCGAGGTTTACAAGTAAGGATCTGCCAATTAAGCAAATTCATTCAATAAAGCTAATTAATTGAGCTACTACATAACAGATATATTGAAAGGACAGGGTAATTTAAAACAATTTTAATTAGCTGAAACAAAAGAAATCCCTAAAAAGTATGTGTTCCCCCGTTTTATGCGTAGAGACTGATAACATACTAGCTAATTTGTGCCAGTAGATGTCATTGACTCACAATATGAAGTTAATTTAATACTTTTAAAAATCAATTAAGATAATCTGCCCTTAATAGAAAACTAAGCTAACATGGGGAACATTGCTGCAAAACTGGAAATAGTTTTTCCCCCTAATCTCAGATAATTAATAACTAGGCCCCCATAAAACACTCATTTGGTTTTACTCCAGAGAATAGGAAATCTCTTCAAATGTACACCAACACTATTCTTTATCAGGCCTTGTTCTCTAAAAGCACAGAGCCCAGATTCATTTTTACGAGAGCTTACAGTATTCTATTCATAGAGCCCTTTAGAAATAGCAAGCATTCATAATGGCGCTGGGATCTGATTAACCTCCTCGCTTGCCGGCACAATGGCAGGCTACCCTGAGACTCAGCCCCGTAATGGAGTCCGCTATCACCAAGCACACTCTAAACATTCTTCGCACCGCAGGACTAGACGACCAGATTGGAATCCCTTAACTCCCCTCTGCACTCGGCACACAGTGGGGAAACAAAACATCCTCTAAGCTGCCCCTCAACATTAATCTATCTCTCTGCTCCACTCCACACATGCACGCACACATTAGACACCGTAGGCTCCTTTTCAGTGCCTTTGTTGTAATTTTGCATTCCTAATTGTGATTTAAAGGCTGAAAAATAAGGGAGCGTTCTGCATATTTAACCATCCCCATCTAAGAAGCTTTTGTCTATGAATGTAAAACCTAACGGTACAGTGTGCACCACTAATGTTAATGTAATAGTCCTAAATTAGACTTTATATGTAAAGCCTAACTCTCAATTTGCTTACTGCTGTAACATCTGAGTCTTATTTTGTGTTGAATTGACTATTATATTACCTGTTGTTTTTGTTCTCTTTCTCCAGTTAATACATCATTTCCTCTAAAAGGTGAAAATATGAAATTCAAAGAAATACAATCATATAGAGGACCGTTAAGAGGAAAACTATTGTGTTGGTTATTTTTATCTGATTTTCCCTAAACTGTCATCACACTCCAATCCCTCGTTTCTGTCTTCAGCCTCTCATGTGATTTGAACCTTCACAGGGTGGATGTGTTTCAAATGTTTATCTCTCACCTCAATGTTGCCATCTCCTGGCCTAACAGTATTAAGCAAGACGTTCACACAGGCAGGCCTTTGCTTTTTGTGGAGCAAATGGATAGCTTGTGCCAAATATGTCATAGGGAGTGATTACACCCCTCAGCGGCCAGTTGGCCCAACAGTCCGCCCCCAGTGGCCAGCCCTGTGGGGGCTGTCAGGACCAGGCAGACTGGAGCTTGGTTAGGAGCCAGTCCCACGTTGAACAGCCAGCTCCTGCTCAGCCCAAGTGTCATCTGCACCTGCCAATAGGAAGCGGTTCTCACCCATCAGATAATGGCGGGGAGGAAATTGCTTCAAGGAGGCGACATCCTAGGATGGCATGGCAATATGGAGATGTGAAATATTCAAGAAAGGCGAGGAGAGGGGACCTGGACCACAAATTAGCATTGACTCTCACATGAACTCCTACAGACACACACGAACACACACACTTGGAGGCAAATACAAATATACTTATGCACACACACACACACACACACACACACACACACACACACACACACACACACACACACACACACACACACACACACACACACACACAGGGAGCAAGGAGGCTATACTTAATCTTCCCTGCTTTGAATACTACAACCGTCCAAGAGAGAATCAAATTTATTCACAGCCTGGTATACCGAACACATTTTTATTTACCTGATATTGGAACAGCTAACATGCCACAGGAATATGGATTGCAAGTGTGTACATCCTCGCTGCAGACGCACTGAAACAAGGAGATTTTCAGCGCAGTACAATGATCAGTTCAGCTGTGTCGTGGAAAATGAAAATCAAAGTGAAAGTTGGATAGGGATATACCAAGTCAAATATGTGCCTGCAATCGTCTCACACCGAATATCACTGAAGGTTATTGTACAGGCCCGCTGATCTTTTGGGGCCCTAATCCATGTAGCTTTAGGCAGTGAAACTCAATATGAAGCATGAAATGTGAAGTAGTCATCATAATTGGATTGAAACCCGCAGTGGATCCTTTACCAACACAAAGTATAAATGCCCATACCAAGGCCACACTTCACACTAACAGGAGGGGGGCTGGTTTTTAGAAGAATCCTTTTCTTTGGTGCACTATTTTGAGGTTGCTAGTCTCGGCTCTAATTAGCCTGATAGATGCTCTGTCAGGACTTTGAGGTTGTTCATCAAACAGGTGGTTAAAACATGCATTCGTCATCTACAACTAGAGCCTTAATGATGTGTGTCTGTGTTTGTAAAAAACATGTGCATGCTCTCAGGATTTATATTTGCTTGCAAGTCATCTCATGTCAACATGGCAACATTTCAACCTGTAGATGGCACTATCATCCCTGGTTTTAATCCACCCCTTTAGGGTCGACTCCCTATTTTTAAACGACTCGTCTCAACACCAAAATCTATTTTGCTTTGTTTGTCATTATGATCCTTTAGCAGGTATTTGTCGTACAGTTTGACAGGTATTTAGGGTTTTTTAATCAAGGCATCATTTGTTATCACAGAAATGTGTGTATGCAACAGTAGCATACCTGATGTGGTGATATGGTCTAAGCTTATTTAAAAATGCTTATGCATAATGAAGAGCAGATAGCAACTGTTGTTCCAATCGTTCTCAGGCAGCGAGCACTAGTTACACAGTGGGGAATGGTTGGAGTTGAGTGGGGGTAGAGGAACCTCAGCCAAACATGATTTGTCTCTGAATACTAATGCCTCTTTTGATCTGCCTCGGCTTTTAGGAGATTTAAACAACAAAATCTGTCTTTCCAAATTTCTTAATAGCCTTTTGTGGCCAACATGAAAAAAAATCCTAGAAACATGTTTACACGGCATCCATAATGTTCTGGATTTGTTTGAAACATGTTGAGTCCACTGAGATCTTATTACAGGGAAACCCTTTATTATTCATGCTTGGCCCTAATAGACTAATTATTTTATAATAAAATAGAAATCCGGTTTTATGACTTTTTTGTGTTATGCATTTATTTCCATAATAGTCCCTTGTTTTACAAATATGTATTTTTAAGTTGCTCCTCACATGTCCTAAATTCAGTAGCTGTGCAAAAGAGATTTCATCCCTCCTGAAATGATCCGAATGTATTAATTACAGAGCTGGAGCAAAACAAAAAAAGGAAACTCACAGAAAGAAAAAGACAATTAGACCTAATAACATCAAGGCTACAAGCACCTTTGTGTTTTATGGCCTTTAAAGCTATTTAGAGGCATATTGTGAGAGAATGTGAGGTGTGATTAGGGACAGTATGTTAAACATTTGGCCAGTTGTAATCAGTTGGAGGGCTGTGAGGATGAGCTGTGGTTGGGGGGTTATCTGCCTGAAGCGCCGCAGGAGGTGCCAAAGGAAACAGAGACCACTAGCCAGTCTGCGCATTTGGCACCTCCACAGCTGCTGCTCACATGCTTCCACCCTCGTTTCACCAAAGACGAATACCAAGCACAGGATAATCTTGTTTTATCTGCCTTTCAGACAGCCCAAATGGCTGAGATTAAACCCTCCACATGACCCTCACGCTTAGAGCAGTGACATGTATACCCCCAGTTTATTGGAGCACCTAAGGTTAAAGTGAGATGAGGAAACTGATAAGGTGCTGGCCTGAAATGGCTTTCCAGTCTCAAAGCAAAAAGGCTTTACCTATCTAAATGTAATAAATGCTGTGTATGGAATACAAGTCAATCTCTTTTCAAGGTTGTATTGTTATCAAAATAACTTATTTAGTTATTGAGCGGCAATGTTTGCTCAATTATTAAAGGGTCAAGTCCCGGAATATTTACAGCTCTTTAATAATACTAGAAACTCATTGTAGACATGAGAGAAGTAAGTCTTGGATGATTTTCAGATTTCATCATGGTGTAAAAACCTGTGTATCATGCAAATAAACCTGTTGAGTGAATGTCTTTATTATTTAAAGATGCAGCATCTGTGAGGAAACCTGATGTTAGAACATTTCCATGCCACAACCGTCATTAAAGTAGATGGTGTTACATGTAACACAGAAGCATCTGTTGTTGTCCCGAGCCAGAACTGTGGAAACAAAGCCAGTCAGTGTTTTTATTCTCCGTCATGTTCGATACATAACAGCTTGGTTGTGATCTTTTTTACATGCTGTCATACATGTATGAACAAGTCACTCTGCTTTTTGTTGTCTTGTGTTTTTGAAGAAATCTTTGAATAGATTTATAGCTGAATTAATCCAGAAAAATACCAATTTAATAGAAAAAACTGCGATATTCCGAGTTTACCTGTTGACCTCTATAACTGTAGATGTAGACATGGCTAACAGTTTAACTCAGTGAGACAGCTAACAACATCCAACAAAAGAAATATAGATAAAAATATCATTTTTATAAAGTTCTTTCAATCTTTTAAAGTATTTTACTGACAACTGTGGAAGCTCGAAACTGTGGAAAAGAAAAGAAACTTGGCTGACAATTTTCTAGCAGTGGGTGACATGCTGGCTGTTATCCAAAAGGTGGGCCTTTGAGACATTTGTTCCCAGTGGCATATGCCAGGATTACTGCTCCTAGTGACACCAAATGCTTTTCCTGCCTTCCTACCTGTTGTCGATTGACGGGAAATATCTTCAAACTGCCTTCATGTGAAATGATGTCAAAGACTGGCTGAGATCAGGATGATTTCTGACCATCATTGTGATCACCGTAATGTTGACGGCCAAAACAAGATGAACAATATTCTAACCATTAATTAAAATCACCTCAGTGAGAGAACAGATGGCCATTCCCATTAATCTGCTGTAATGCTCCTACTGTCTCCACACACGTCTTAATCAAGCCGTGATCTGCATTAATCACCTGATTTAAGTGACAAACAAGTATCACTTCTGTGTGTTAGCCAGGCTTTGTTGGTGCAGGGCCTCTGTTGACCTTGTAATGATGTATTGATCGGAAAAATACTTTGTACATGAGTAGGTAGTGTTTTGTATTCATGCAGTATGCTTAACACAACTGAGTACACATGATCATAGATGAGCAAGACATCACTACCTGTGCACTTGCTGTTTTTAACATAAAGTGTGTGCTTTAATTTCAGACTGAAATATTTGTCATCTATAGCTGCTCAACTGTTACCCTGACACCGTTGCAACACAAAGTGGTAAGTGCGTGATAAGATTAAGGAGTAATCCTCTTAGTGGCAAACCACTAATTTGGCTAATAATTCTGCATTACCTTCTGCCACCAAATCCTGGATTGTAACACCGAGCCAACACGGGACCGTTGTGCTAAAGGCTTTGTGTGTCTGGTAGTGGCAGAAAAGTATCTTATGTTTGATCCTCCTCTGCCTCAGTGTTCATATGTTCAGCCTGATCTTGTTTGTAATAAAATATATATAGAGAGGGAAACAAACAAGAACGGAGAACATAATGAGAGATAGATGCAACATTTCCTGTTTACATTCAACTCAACATCAGAAGATTTCTCACTCCATATTGAAAACCATGAGCGACGATTGCAATGCTGTTGCACTTCCAAGATTAACGATTTAAGTTGTATTGGCCTGCTTAGTGTATAGCCCTGAATAACAGTTGCTGTAATGACTTGTGGGGTAATACTAGCTTTAACAATTGGGGATCAACACTTATTTGCCTTATGCCTTGTGGATTTTAGAACAAATGCTTAACACTTCTGTTGTAATGTGATGCAACTGAGGCATTTTCCAAGTTCAATATTCAGAATAAACACTGCAGTTTTCAATGGCATACACGATAAATTGGCTTGCTGCAGACAGTCTGTTATTATAACGTGTTTGTGCTGCCTATTGTTGCCAAGAACAAAGCAGCCAGCATTATCGGAAAATAAAATCCATCTTTACATTTAGTACATGCTAAATATGTCCCAATCTGACAACATGGGTAGTGTTTTTTTCTTTTTATTGGATTTTTTTCCTGTCAGTTATCAGCTTCAGCAAGCACCATTTTCTAGCATAGGATGATTCACAAGTGTGATTGTTAGAAAAAACACCTAATGCCAAAGATCTGCAGGGGACATGGAGTCTGAGCCAAAGGCCATGTTGAAAACTTCAATTTTAAAGGCAACTGCTCAGAGTTGTGGTCTAGAGGTCTTCTCTGCCTGTCATGGCGGCAACCTGAGAACACGCTTGGGAGACAGTTTGGCTGAAGAAGGATGCTTTAATGGCCTGGGGGTCTCTTGAAGCAGCACACCGGAGAGCTGGCCGCAGCTTTGAGTTAAATAAGGCATGATAGAGACAGGATGAGTGGATGATTGGCGCTGTCAGCATTATTGAGAGCATTTTGTTGAAGGAGCTAAGCCAGAGAGCAAAGATTTTCGATTTAAAAGTTGATCTAAGTTCCAGCTTTAACCCAGTGTTATGAGCTTTGTGTGATGACAAAAAGCAGCCAAAATGAAATTCCCCTGTAGGGTGGATAGGGTGAGGAGCTCATGCATCATAAGGGAGCTTGGAGTGGAGCCAGTTGAAGTGGTTTAGGGATCTGATCAGGAAGCTTCCCGTAGGACGTTTTTTCAGGCATGCCCAACTGTGGGAGACCCAGTCCACACTTAAGAGATGTTCTCCTCTGGCTTTGGTACATCATGGGTATTCAGGAGCAGCTGGAACACATTTTTTAGGGAGAGGGATGTGTCGACTACCTTCCTCATCCTGCTGACACTGAAAAAGCAACAGCATGTGTGCAGATGGATGGACATTTATTTATAAAACATAAGTTAGCTCGTAAAACTCTTCACATATGGCAGCACAGAGCGTCTTATCACCTCCCGCCGACACAGTATCAGTGGATCTCTGGTCTGTGACTGCTGTGTGCCTTTTCACACCTCCCTGTATGTGCCCACTCTGGGGCTCAGACAGATTTACTCAAACTTTTGTAAGGTGTCAAGAGTCCTTTGAAGGGCCATAGACGCCTTTTAATCAGAAGAAGCTAATCACCCATATGGTTGACAGAGGTCTGGTTGACTCATGCTCTTTTGTTATCACTATGGGAGCTGTTGCGTGTGTATTACTGTGTGAGTTTGAGGTGGGAGGGAGAGTCATTCAATGGAGTTTATTCTCCTGACTTCTTTGTTCTTCTGACTTCACAGGATCTTGTTTTGGAAGAATTGCTGAAAAGGGTTAATTACTTGCGTTTGAGTGTTTATTACAGTAGAGATGGTCTTGATTATACAGGCAGGCTTTTCCTCTAAGGCGGCGCTACTCTGATATTCTACAGTATGTGTAATTAACATTGTGGGTGTCCAAAACACAACAGTAATCAAATGACACTTGTCTGGCTATGTGAGTTCCCTTCACAGCATTATACTTAAATTCTTCCCCTGCTATTTAAACAGATGAGACAGTGTCTCTGCTGCACAACAAAAATAATGACTTTTGCTTTTAATGTAAATTAGTTATGTGGAATCACTTAGATAGATGTGATTTTGAGAAAAACACAACTAAAGAAAGGTAAAAGAAAGATAAAATATTGATGGATTCAAAGCTTGGCTTTTATTAAGCGAAAATGCCAGGGTATGAATTTTGAGCGGACTGTCTGATTATAATACTTATAATTCATATGTTTGTATTTGAATAACAATAAGAGTCATTAGGCTCTGGGAACTTCAATGAATAGATGTGTTTTCCAGTTTCACATTGCATATGCATTTACTTGTTGGAAAGCAAATAAGTACATTTATCAAATAAAATGCTGTATCTCAAAGATTTGCCGTTTTATACATAGACTACTCTACATGAAATAATGATAAACCAATATTAATGCGTTAATTTGACGTTTTGAGGATAATCATTGTACTTTTACCTAAAATAAACGTTTTACCCTTTGACCTCTACAGTGTACTTCAATGTAAAGAAAAATGAATTTCTTCCTTTACTGCTTTTGCTATTCATATATTGTGTTGAAGTAGCCTACAGCAAATCATGATCCTTTCTGGTGTTATTATGAGCCCTTGTTTACTTGATCAGCAATTGTAATTTATTTGACATAAAGGCTTTTACTTACTGCTATTTTTCTTTCCACCCCGTCTTCCGCATAATTTCCTTTAACTGCCTGACTAACATACCAATCCTTCAGTTTAGGCTTTTAATAGGTACTTCAGATACATCTACTGGCACGTGGTCCTATGTAATACAGGCATGTAAGTGATTGAATCAGCTAATTAATTACCATGTGGAGATTTTTTTTTTTAAGTAACACTATTAGCAGCACGATTAAAGTTCCACAATCAGTTTATCTAATAAACCATTTGCTCTAACAAAAGTACAACAGTTTGCTGCAGAGCCAAACGTGCCCCTGTTGGTGGACCACTGGAAGGCCATTGGTCGATGGGGCAGCCTATTTGCATATACCGGGGCTTAAAGTCCGACAGCGAAGTCACATTACCACAGCAGTGTTTCGACCTAACACAGCACAAGTGGTGGATTTTATGCACAATTCGTGACTTTCGTGACAGCACTCTTTAACCCTTCAACATGGGATTTTGCAAGATTGCAGGAGTTAGGGTGTGCATTGTACTTTCTTTATTTGTATACTCTGTTCGGTGTACAACTACAAGATATTTCACCTATGAAGAGGATGCACCCGGGACGGATATAGGAAATCTATCCCAAGATTTAAAGATTGATCCAGCTGAAGACTCCGACACATCGTTCCGCTTCATGCAGGAAAACAACTCCTCTGTGATTGAAATGAGGGAGATTGACGGACTTCTGAGTGTGGCAGAAATAATTGACAGAGAGCAGCTCTGCCCGAGGTCTCCGCGCTGCTTCATCAGCTTCGACGTTGTGGCCTTCTCCAAAGAAAAGTTTCAACTCATCCACGTGGAAATCGAGGTGAAAGACATCAACGACCACTCTCCTCATTTTTCGCGCAACGAGACACAGCTGGAGATAGTGGAGAATGTGCCTCTGGACTCAAGGTTCCCACTGCAGGTTGCCCTCGACCAGGACGTGGGTGAAAACTACATCCAAAGCTACAACATTTCCGCTTCTAATAATTTCGCCATTGAAGTGCGCGATGGGGATGATGGAGTGAAGTTTGCTGAGCTGGTGCTGGTGAGGGAGCTCGACCGGGAGGTGGAGGACTTCTACACCATCGAAGTGACTGCAACTGACGGAGGGGTGCCTTCAAAGTCCGGGTCTATGATTGTAAACATCAGGGTGCTGGACTTTAACGACAACAGCCCCACGTTTGAACACAGCTCGCTGAAAGTTGAGTTGTATGAAGACTCCCCGGTGGGTCACCGAGTTCTCAAAGTGCACGCTTTTGACCCCGACCACGGTGTTAACGGTGAGGTGACGTACGCGTTTGCTGACGTGCTGTCACCTGAGACTGGACGCCTTTTCCACGTCGACCCTTATTCCGGGGACGTGACTTTGAAGGCGCTGGTTGATTATGAGAAAAGGACGTCATACGAGCTGAATATCAAAGCCTCAGATTCGGGCGCAAACTCTGTCCCGTCCAGCTGCAAAGTTGTGATTGACATCGTGGACGTGAATGACAACGCACCTGACATCAGCATCAAACCGATGACTTCCAGCAGTGATGGAGTCGCCTACATTACAGAGGCTGCAGCTGCAGAGAGCTTCGTGGCTCTGATCAGCACCTCGGACAGAGACTCTGGCTCCAACGGGTACGTGCACATAAGCCTGCTCGGGCACGAACATTTCACCCTGCAGCAGGCATATGGGGACTCTTTCATGATAATTACCAGCACTACTTTAGACAGAGAGAAGATCCCAGAGTATAACCTGACTGTGATTGCAGAGGATCTGGGAAGCCCACCCTTCAAAACTGTAAGACAGTACACCATCCGTGTAACAGATGAGAATGACAACCCCCCTCTGTTCAGTAAGTCACTTTTTGAAGTTTCAGTAATGGAAAATAACATCCCAGGTTCATATGTTACAACTGTTGTCGCTCGAGATCCTGATGTGGGAAAGAATGCCAAAGTCTCATACAAACTCATAGATGCAGAGGTGCGAGGAGGAGCTCCAGTGTCCACTTATGTTTCTGTGGATTCCCTCTCAGGGTCTTTGTACACTTTGAGGTCTTTTGATTTTGAAACTCTACAGCAGATTGAGCTGGTCATCCAAGCTGAAGACAGAGGTTCCCCCTCTCTTTCAAGCACATCAACAATCAGAATAAAAATTGTGGATCTGAATGACAATTGTCCTTACTTCACCTTCCCCGTCCTTATGAACGACTCTGCTGATATCCCTCTGCCTTTTAATGCACCTGCTGGCTACCTTGCCCTTCGCGTCTCAGCTGAAGATGAGGATGAGGGAGTGAATGGCGAGCTCCACTACCAAATTGTACAAGGTGACCCACATATTTTTACATTGAACAAAGACACTGGAGAAATTGCTTTGAAACAATGGCTGACGTCTGAAATTGGAGACGTGCTCGAAATGAAAATCGCCGTGAGTGACAATGGCAGGCTCCCGCTCTCTAGCAGTGCCACCATTAGGTTTATTGTCTCAGACACACAGCCCTCCGAAGACCAAGTTGTCATTGTGTTGCGGTCAAGTGATGAAGAAGGCACTGGCTTTGATGGCTCGCTAATAGTCATCATTATGCTCAGCGGTGGTTGTGCATTGTTGCTGATTGCAATAGTGGTTGTTGTTGTGACATGCAAACTCAGCGATGGGGGGAGAAACCGAGGCTCCAAGAGAGAAGTGTGTCACAGCATGTTCGACAGCAGGCCCATGCCCATGCTCGGCTCAACAGAACCCAACATTTACACTGGACCAAGAGGTTTCTTCCATGAGAGAACCTCTTCATCTCTGGATGATTCCTGCCTGTATGAGGAGAGAAGTGGGGACGCTGAAACAAAGGTGAGTCAACTAAGAGAGTATTTCATTTTCATATGCATATGATGTTCCCCAGAGCTGCCTTGATCTCTGTGCCAAAAATGGAAGCTAAGCTCTGTGCTGTCATTTTGTTTGTTGTCTTAGATGTTCCTGCCCTCCAAGCATTTCCAACCAACATCTGTGTGGCGAGGTGACAAATACTGCTTGCAAGTGAGGTAAGACAACGAAATGTGATTTATTTTCTCAGATATGATGTGCTTTATTCACAGTGAAATCTCACTGAACACAGAGGGTACTTAACATGCAACATGCATGCATTATGTTGCTTTTGGCATTGCAGTGGAGTGAGGTTGGATGGGGGGATGAAAACAGGCCTTGTGTGTGGAAAAAAAATACATCAATAATCAAGCTAATGTGGTGCAATGGTGGCTCATACTGTATCTGTTGATTGTATTTGCAGTGGCATTGGCAACAGCGACCAACAGAGCGTGAAGGACAGCGGCAAAGGGGACAGTGACTTTAACGACAGTGACTCTGATATCAGTGGTGACGGAGGGAAAAAGAACTTCAGTACCTTCCAACCAAAGCTAAAAAGTGAGTTTTCCACTCTTAATTTTTGAAATTAAACACTACTGAATTAAACATAAATATTACTCAGACTGACATAAATAATACATTTGAGTAAAAGCTTCATCAAAAATGTCTCATCTTTATTTAAAAAATATTTTCCCCTTTTATTTTAGGTTCATCCAGCACTGCTCACAGCTTGTCTGGGGAGTGCCAGAGCACGTATGGTGTATTACCACCACAGAGCTTTAGAGGATCCGGGGATAATGCATACACAATTGGCTTCGCCCCAGTACCAGTGTTCAACAATCTTCACAGCTATCCCAACTTTTGGAAGGACTCTGGTTATGGCACAAATCGCCCAAAATCCAGAAACAGCATGCAGACCTTCTCTACCGGGACCCTTCCTTGTTATTTCCCTCAGCAGCATTGTGAGGCAAGTGTTCGAGGAACTGAAATCCAAAACCAGAGTCCACATTTTGTAACTGTGGCTACGGCCCTCGAGGTTGCAACCATCTTTTAAAAAATGTGTTGAAAAACGAAATGACCTGAACCTGTTTTGTACATATTTTTGAAACTGTAATTGCTGTTACTACAGGTGTACATATTTGTGTACTTGAGGAATTATTGTAAAAAGTATTATTGATCACTATTTAAGTGTACTGTATTCTATGATGCACACTGGTGTCCCTTTTTCCAATAAAAGTCTGATTTATATCTTAAACATTTTTTATTTATTCCACAAATGTTATCAAATTGTTTTACAAATACAAGATACATCAATTCATCTAAGACATATTTCATTTTGAAGAATAAATATCACTCCCTTGCTAGTTGAAACTCCATTCTGAATTTGTAAACATGTAAAACCCCCTCTAGTTTGAATCTACATGATCAAGACTCGAGTCAGTGATGATCAGATGTAAAATCTCAAGCTGCTGCATTACCTGGGAGACTGGCTTTGAAGAGTCTTAGGTTGCTCCGTTGAGTTTCTTGCATGCAAATGAGAGAGTAGAGCTGGTACCGAAGGGGAAAATGAAGTATAAACCATTATTGCTACAAAATCATGCTGGGTGCTGTCAAGCCTGCTTCGATTCTTCTAAATAATTTACATCACCTTAAACAACAGTGTACATATTAGACTTCTTAAAAAATCTGTGACTTTCATTTGTTGCTATGACAGCAAATGCTGAGCTCTGTATTGATTTGGTTGTCAAATGGGGCAAACAATACACAGGATGATGTAGAGTTTCCTCTTATTAAACTCTATCTTAATACTCTGACATTGATAAGGCTCTACCCATAGCTTTGCTGTCCTATTTGCAGAACGGGTCACTTTTATTCAAAACAAACCATGAGTATGTAGGGCAAGTACAAACTGTCTCTGGTCCGGAATGATTTATTGATGAAACATTGATGTGTGCACAAACCATAACCAACACTGACAAACATCGCACTGAACCCTGGTTAGTGGTCGTTGACTGAGCTTACTTGTAGCTGTTGCATACAAATTATACAACATTTGCTTTAGTTTCTTATGTACGTCTCCCAAAATAGAGCAGCAACATCATTTTTGTAAATCCAGGACACACAGATGCAAGAAACCAGAAAGTCTGACTAAATTATGCAAGATAAAATCTATTAAATACATCTCTCAATCAAGGGACCATGTCCATGGGGAGGTGAATGTGTTTTCACCAACAACTTCATAGGCCGACTTTAATATTGCTTTTCATCAACACTTTAGACTCTGGAGTTAAGATACTGAAAATATGCATTTATATGCTATTAAATACCTGCTGATTTATATCTTCCCATGGACTATTTTGTTACAGTATTTTGTCCTCATTAGTTTTTAAGGTCACTTTAAATGAGCTTTTGATGTATGAAAGCAACTGAGACAAGAGTAAAGGGTTGTTACAAATTACATAATAGCTATCTAAGGGCCAGTCCTGAAAAGAAAATAAATAGTTTCCAAAACTGCTGCCAAGGAAGTGCTATCAGTGGAAACTGACGAGAGAAAAGAGCCATTACTTTTTTTTTGTTTTCTGTTCATCTGCAGGAAAATGGGCTAAGAGCAGTGCTCATTTGCATAAGCATAAATACCTGCTTTTTTATATCCTTGATCAAAACTGGAATAGAGTGGATATAACTGTAAAGCACTAAACAGAGTTCTCACACATTACCACCATTTCGCTCATGAATATAGGACATTGTTCAAACATTTTTTTTCCTATTTAAGTGGTTCTGATCACCTCTTCTAAAAGATGCAATACCCCTGGTCTACAATGTCACAACAGTTTTGGAAATTGCAAAGTTATGAACTTTATTTTAGGCATAGAGTCCACTGAGGACTCAAGGCCATTTGGTACAAAAGGCACGCAATAAGAAAGAAGGTCATATTTGTGCCCCTAGTGATGTGCGCTGGTCTGACAGATAGCCAATTGCACAGAGAGGGGAAATGCATTTATCAATCAATACAATATGATTCTCTTCATCACTGCTTTGTGTGCTCCTTGTAGGTCAAATAGTTGTGCATTGACCTGACAATTTGTGCCACAAAGTATATTCATCTGCACAGTTTGGTATTACATTTGTGTCTGTTTGAAAAGTCACTGCTGGCAGACACTGTTTTCTTTCATATCAAAATGGACTCCACAATAATGTTGTGCAGCAGCTCTAACAATAATCTCCCTAGGTAAAAGAAAATGGACATTTCAAGAGCTGTTTTTCAGCTTATCAGGAATCCACTGACAAATGAGTTGGATCTGCCGATGTCACTTCAAGCCTTCGCACCTGGTGTTTGGTTTATTTTTGACAAATGGCTAACTGTAGGACTGTGATTATGTTGTTATAGCCTCTTAGCATCTCAACTTGAAGTCCCCAGTGTGCCGAGTGTGCAAAGATGAAGCCTTTCTGAATCAATGTAATTTGGTGCTTCAGGCCCGTCCCACAATGCAATGTTTTGTACTACACGCACCTCATCTTCATCTTTGTCTCAACTGCCAAGTGTGGATATTGACTTTTGGATGCTTTGAATTGTGTGGCTGGTGAGTGAAAAAATAACACCATTTGTTTCCCACTTGACAGTTTGTCTCGAAGGAGAAGTTGTTTCGATTCATTTCACCATTAAGATGTTGTCTGCTTCATTTACAATAAAGTCCCATCAATGTCTGATACCTTGAAATAATTAAAACAGGTGGCAGGCAAAAGTAGCAGTTTCTACTAAATTATGGGATGTTATCACTGGGTCATTTGTAGGTTTACATACAGCATGTCGTAGATAGAAAGTATCCATTTCGAAGGCCTCGAGTGATCTATAGAATACTTTGGTCTCATGGTACCCCACAAATGAATGTATTAAAAAGTAAAGAACGACAATGACAGTCCATGTGAATAGTTTGCTAGAAGTGATTTAAAGAAATAGCTCAATATGCTAATTTCCTTTTGGGAGATACAAGAGGTTTCATACCACTTTTATAACTGTCTGTTGAATATGGTGCTTGAGCCAACAGCTATAGTTAGTTTAGCTTTCGATAAACAATTGAAGGATGGGCTTAGCCTGTCTCTGGATTTCTGTGAGGTTGTCAGGTAACCAACTGAAACTCCAGAAAGTCACTTTACTCTCGCAAACATGTGAATTGTTGTGTTGACACTTTGGTTGTTCTTTGGATTAAACAGACAGGATATGTGTCACTATTGAGCTTTAGAGGTGCTGGTAGGCTAATGGTGTTACGTTTGAAAGAGAGCCAGGCTAGCTGTTCCCCCCTGTTTACAATCTCTGTGCTAAATTAAGCTAACTGGCTCCTGGCTCCAACTGCATTGAAGGACAGATATCTGAGAGTGGTATTGATCTTTTCATCCAACCCTCGGAAAGAAAGCAAATAAGGCTAATTCCCCAAATGTGGAATTATTCCTTTAACCTAAAATTGACTATCAAAGACATTTCCTCTGTTTCCTTGCAAATCATTTGATAAACATTTGGATCTTCAAATATAAGAAAATAGTTTTCTCTCTTTGCCAAAAGCCTGCAATAATACAGTTGGAGTCTGTGAGCATGTTTTTAATTCTGAACTGCATTGTAGCTTGTAACACTTGAATAATAGTATGCTAAAGATATGCTGCTATACATTATTTTGTAGACCTTAAATCCCAGGTTTAATTTGTAGTTTTTGCAAAAACTTATTTGGTGTAGTCCCATATTCCATGCAAGGGAGGGTTCACCAAATTGAAAAACAAGGGTTTACATGTATTCAAAGACTTTTCAGGCTACTGAGAACATGTATGGCCGAATAAATTGCTAATTTTATCTGCATTTTATTTTAGCTCTAATGTTTTAAATGGAAATCTGGAGAGCTGAAGTGTTTTGTTGTGAAGCCACTATTATGTGATAATATGACACTATTGTGTGCCGCGTGACTTGGTAGTGATAATTGGAAAATGGAACTCAATTAAAAATCTAGAAGCAGTTCTAGCTTTAATAAAGATCTAGGACATCAAATACAAGCAATACTATTTCTGTATCTTATTTTTTAAATCTCATAATGTGCCTTTGAGCACAAAAGGATGTAAATATTGTGTTGAATAATTTTAAAACAAACAATGAGTGGATGTGTGACTTCTGTCTAGACATCTGTGCGTGTGTGGGTTTGAGTTTAGTCATTTGATTTGATTGATTTGATATATTTACTGCTTAAATATGATGTGTTTCTTCCATATCTGGAAAGTGAGATACAGATAAGGACATAGAGAGAGAGAAGTAGAAAGACATTATCATCAATTCATCATGATAAAAATAACCCATCTTAAAGGAAATGTTGTCAGAATGTATGATGTAGAAGTCCTCTAGCCATTTCAGCTGCCCCATCAATCATTCAACGCATAAATGTTCAAAACAGTCCTGAATTCCCCAGGTCATACAAAATAAAGTTGTATTGTGTGAATATTGTGCAAACCGCTAGACAAACATTCACACGCGTCCTTCAACATATAAATATACATTATCAGTAGAAGCTCTGTGCTGAAGCAGCATTGAGCAACTTTACCAAGGTTTGTCTGTTTTCTTTTAGTTTTTATACCACTAGGGGGAAACATCATGCTGTATAACCTCCAACATTATAGTGTTCCCAAAACATCATCTATAGGTATGATGTATACATGCAAACTGGCAATAACCAGTTAAAAAATATAATTTAACAAACATGTTAAACATGCTTAACGTTTTTCTACACTGGTTCATTGTAACTCAAGGGTATTCTCTGCTAAAGCAGTGAGATATTATTCATGAGCGGTTGCTATGCTATTACCAAATGTCAGCTTTTAATGGAGTTCTATTTTGTGGAACAGGAAGCCTGTGTTCAACAGTAACATCAAGTAATGAAGCAATAATGTGTCAGTACTTTAATATTCATGTTGCTGTTTAAGATGTATGTTTCTATTGTATGACAGTGGTGCTTTCAGTTCACACAACAGCAGTGTTGCTGCTTTTTACACAATTCCAGTAAGACCAACCAGTGATATAAT